TTCAACCCTGAAACACTGCCAACTTATAACAAAGATGAATCAAGAAGAAACCTCCCGAAAGACAGATACCAGAAGTCAACTCCAAAACAGCTGGAAAATTTCTCCTGTGTTCTTCTCCCACAAGTAGAAGCGCGATTAGTGCACATCCAGACATGCTCCCCCACAAAAGGTTAATGAATTCTCCAAGGATCGATGGGCAAAAAGTCCCTCCCAAAGATTGCTTACACTCCCTGGAGAAGGGCAGCGGGACTAGCAAGCCTGAGCTGAGAAGGCTTCAGCAAGAGGCCTCAAGCCTCCCCCACCTCAGCACGTCCACTCAAGTCAGGAATGCCCCCCATCCCTCACAAGGACCGGCGCTCGGTGCACCTCTCCCATGAGAGACGCGCGGCAGGAGACTTGAGCCAAAATAGCTTCTTTCTTTCATTATTCCTCTTGTTCTATCATTTCTTTATTTTCGGTGCTTCTTGCTTTCTGCTACGTACAGTATGTATGTCCTTCTTGTCTTTCTTAGTTTCTCTTGTGATTTGGTTCTTTACTTTCTTGCTATCGTGCTTTCTTTTGTGTTTCTTTGTTCTGTCTTTCGTTCGTTCTTTCTTTCTCTGGTTCTTTCCTAGCTTTCTTTCTTCTTTCCTTCTATCTCTCCCCGAACCCAACCCGTCAAAACCAAAAAAATACGGAAAATAAAACCAACAAAATACGGAAACATAATACCCTAATTGCAGGTTGATGAGGAGCGTCGAGGAGGCTGTTAAGTGGTGCTCAGCATTTGACGTCCCAAGCTCTCTGCGACCGGGTTGCGAGCTTTGGGCAAGCATGGAACGATGGATTTCTCAATCTCTGCTGGGGCCGCAAAACACAAAATGGGGTGCCTCGCAGGTCACCCGGCAGGTTATCTCAACGCCCCGTGGCAGCTCCATATGCTTCTGAATCTCGCGCAGGCCCTCCGAGAGCATGCACCAACCTGTCGAATGTGGGTGTTCTTGTCCGTGAGATTGCGTTTCAGCCCGCCTTCAATCGATAGGAGAAGGCTGTAATTGATGGTCCATTCCGTTTCTATTTCGTTGTGGCTTTCGTAGTAATGCACGAGCACCATTCCATCGCGGTAGCCCCATATGCGGGGTAAATCAGCTGACCCGTGATGGACACTTGAAAGCTTGTTCAGATTTGTTAAAAAGAGATCAGTCAAGTCAAAGGCTTCCGTCAAGTCATGTAATCAGATGTGTGCATAAAGTAGGCGCCCAGGGGGATTCCGTTTCAGTTGGTTATTTGATCATAACATGGGGACATGGCGTTTCCGCGATCCAGTGACTTTTCCGCAGTGTCCTTCTTGAAGTTGACAGTACTACAGTACCGAATCTGGCCTTCGTGTAGGTCAGGTTTGCTGAGTATGCTGAAGGTTGGATCCTCCAGACTCGCTTTTGTGGCACTTCGGCTTGCCAGCACTCACCCTGCAAGATGCAAACACTCCGCTGAAGCTTTTCTACACCCAGTCCAAGCCGCCCTTTGCAGTTCACTTCCAGAAAAATGGAGATTACCTTTCTTTGCCCAAGCTCGCAACGTTCCCCCAATTTTGTTGAGCCGAAGCGGGCCCTCTCTGTCTACCCGCTCTACCCCCTCCAGGAAACCACCCTAGCCCTGCCCTGGAGCCGTTGCAGGCCCCTGGACCTCCAGAAGATGGAGAGTACCTTCTTTGCCAACCTCCTGCCTCAACGTCCCCCGCAATGATGCTGATGATGCTGGCCCACTGCGCCAGCATCATCAGTGTCATTGGGAGCTCATTTCTCGTCAGGGGTGCTGGCAGTGGCGGAAGCCTTTTTTTTCTACTAGGCGTGGCTGTAAAGGATTTTCCTAGGCGCGGCTGTAAGGATCTCCTATAAGCCGGCGGCTGCAAGGATTCCCTTCAGCCACGCCGAGGAAAAAACAAAACACGTCCGGGGGCCCGGAGGCGCATTTTTTTCCTAGGCGCGGCTGTAAAGGATTTGGCTAGCCGCGGATGGAAAGATGAAGAGAATTCCGAGGACGCTCCACGCGCCAGCGCTCCAACGCACCGAAAACAACGAGAGGGTCGCCACTTACGCCCAGAATTTCAAGGACGCTCCACGCGCCAGCGTCACCACGCGCGGAAAACAGCGAGAGGGTCGCCACTTACGCCCAGAATTTCGAGGACGCTCCACGCGCCAGCGTCACGACGCGCCGGAAACAGCGAGAGGGTCGCCACTTACGCCCAGATCGCCCAGAATTTTGAGGACGCTCCACGCGCCAGCGTCACCACGTGCGGAAAACAACGAGAGGGTTGCCAGTTGCGCCCAGAATTTCGATGACTCACCGGAAACAGGGAGAGGGTCGCCACTTACAGCCAGAATTTCGAGGACGCTCCACGCGCCAGCGTCACCACGCGCCGGAAACAGCGAGAGGGTCGCCACTCATGCCCGGAATTTTAAGGACGCTCCACGTGCCAGCGTCACGACACGCCTAAAACAATGAGAGGCTCGCCACTTACGCTCAAAATATCGATGACGCTCCACGCACCAGCGTCACGACACGCCTAAAACAACGAGAGGGTCGCCACTTACGCCCAGAATTTCGAGGACGCTCCACACTCCATCGTCACGATGCGCCGAGAGCAGCGAGAGGGTCACCAGTTACGCGCAGAATTTCGAGGGCGCTTCACGCGCCAGCGTCACGACGCGCGGAAAACAATGAGAGGGTTGCCACTTACGTCCAG